TTATTTTGCCGCACCAAACGATTAGAAAAACAAAAAAAAGCTGTAGAAGGTGTGGAGTGGCCACATAAAGTCGGTAATTAAAAGACCCTTACGAAAAAAAATTATTATATCTGATACGCGATATGGTCAAACGCATGGCGTGTTAAAATAGCAGGACAATACAAATAACAAGTGAGACAGCGCACAGATGAAATACCGTGCAATTTTCGCTCTGCCCCCGTGTTTATTTACTGTGCTCCCGTAAAAAACTCTTCTAAGAGCCAAGTCATCTTAATTAATCCTAATGTTGGTCAACATAATGCAAAATATTTATTAAACTCGTCCTCTGTAGAAAATACATCCTGTTACAAATACCCTGGAATCACTGTCACAGAAGATTTAATGTGGAATTTTCCTATTCAGACCGTGTTAAAGAAGGCAGCGAGAAGAATTGTATTTTTACGGAGAAATTTAAATCAAGCATTACCTTTTACTAAGCTCACAGCCTATAAACCACTTGTTCATTCACAGCCAGTATGCGAAAGCATAATTTAGAATCATCGTCAAGCCGACTTGCTTAATAATCTCCAATTCTCACAAAACAAAGCGGCCTGATTCATTCATCAGAACTACTCATTTTCACGAGCGTGTCAGAACTCAAATCCGAATCCAGTCTTTTGGTTTTATATATACGTGGAAAACTGTCTCAACTGTGTTTTTTTATATAACCTGTACTATAACCTTCTACATTTAGGATCCACTTATTTTCATCCTCCTTTCTCCGTATTTCTTCGGTGTGATCATTCTTTCAAAATAGAACGATTCCAATCACGCACTATTCGGCACAGATTTTTCCCACTTTCACAATGCATCAACAACTGGAATTCCTTGACTGAACATAGGGTATTCGATAGTAAGCACCTTTTGTTCCGCTACAAGTGCAAAACCTTTTTTATATGCTGTATCCTTTTTCTTTTGGTCCTTGCTTGCTTTAAATTTCTTATTGCTAGATTTTTTCTAAACTTTTGTTCACTTGTTTAAACTCTCCTCATGTAAAACATCCGACGGGTGTCTTTAAACTTGAACTTGAACTTGAGCAAAGACCCGGACCAATTTTTGCTCAAACAGACTATCAGCCTTGGCTAGTGTTATATCGTGAACGAGAGAGCCGAGACAGGTTTTTCCTGGTGGAAGGCTCGATGTTTTAATGATGAATTCCTGGAGGTCGCGAGGTCTGGTGGCGCGCCGCACGCAGGGCTAGCGCCACCGCCGCCTGCTGGAATGCCGTCCCTTCCAGTATACCACAACTGGAAACACCGTCAAATACAAAAAGTTATTAGCCAGGAACTGTACACACCAACAGCGGCTCTAAATTTAAAAGCGGTATGTAACGCGCGGATAGAAGATAACACCATAGCGCGTACTGATACAATTTGAGAAATGTGCTCGATCGCCAATTTCCTAAACTTGCATGCCGTTCTACTGCTCTCGGGACTCCTAAAATTGAACCCCGAGTATAGTAAGTATTCACTGGCGGCCATAGCTGTGTGCGGGACTGCTGAGCGAGTGCTGATGGCGAGCTTCCACAGTTCTTTTCTAACGTGCATTTCGCACCCTCAAGATTGCCGGTCTTAGCAGCCTATTTATGTGGGCTCCTTCTGAGCATGCGCTCTAAACAGCACCCACACATATGGCGCCCAGTCAATACTCCTTATAGAGCTGGCTCGCGGCTCACGTACGTGCAGCATACGACTTATCCAAGCCAATCCAAGCGATGCTGTGCCTCCTCGTAGCTGCTTGCAACGTCTGCTTGCCGGAACTTTAAGTGTCTCTTTAAAGCTGCATTCACACTGGCGTTCGAATTGCATCCGTAAAGCGGATGTACTCGTTTTCATCATCAAATGTGCGTGAAATTGTACTGATTCTTTCAGCAGCGGCGTTCGCAACCACTTTAAAAATTTTACTCAGCCGCTAGTGTGAATGCGGCGTAAGAATTAATTGCGTTACACAATACTTTTTTATCGCCAGGCGGACAATATGTTCAGGAGAGAATGAAACCAAGACATGTGGATGATACGACGATTCACGGATCGATTTTGAATTAGACATTTTATAGTATATCTTTATATTGAAGAAATAGAGACAATCAATATTGATGGCCAGCCAAGTTTTCAAAAATGCTGGGTCAAGCATGCAATTGGAGTTATTCATTGTCAAATTTTGTTCTAAAAATCTGATGATACCGGAACCGGATGCGCGATCTCCGCCGGAAAGGCAACCATCGTCTAACGTAAGGGGGTCACGTGTTAATAACTAAATTTGAGTCCCTTTTGCGACACAGCGCGACGGAGCTGTTTGCAGCCGGCGCTTTATTGCATTTCGCACTAAAGCGCTGAAGGGTTGTCCAACACAAAAAAAGAGCATAAAGCGGTCACGTATATATAGAGGTACTTTCTTTTAATATATTGTCCGTAAATATCGCCATGTCACTATGTTTTTATGAACTTGGAATATACACTGCACTAAAGATTAGAATATTTAAAAATATATACTCTCTTGACGCGCAGGCTTGGTTGCCCACATGACGGGGATGAAGCGCCTCCCAACCTCCCAGACTCTCCTGGTGCCGAATCATGTTCGGGGAGGGATGGCTTTCTAATGGCCGCAACAGTCACGATCGGGGAAAACAAAAATATCTACCATTTGTCAGAATGCTCCAAACAAATCATACGGCATGTTGTAGGGTAAGTAACACACGATGAAGAATAATGCTGTAATTTCTCTGAATCTACATATTAAAGCAGAGGTTTCCTTTTTTGTCATATATGCATAGATGTTAAACTAAGGCCGACATTACGTAACTAGAGAAATATTGAAAATATATGAGGTGGGTTGGAAGTGGCGTGAATTATTTGAGAGATCAGCTCGGTCCTCAAGCACAATGTCAAGCCCAATACAAATCCACTTCTTTTTCCAAGTGCACAATAATGTGTGCTTGTTTAAACCAAAGTCCATCTTTTTACTATTGGGGAAGAGATCAAATAGTTACGCCTCTAGCGGTGCGCTTCAGCTGTGGGGAAAATAAACCGGATTTTTCTGTTTGTTTTTTGATCAGAGAAATTGAAGACGACGATGCGAAGGCGGCTCCACGTGCGACAAAAACACCGGTTAGAGCTAAGCGCTTGTTGCCCACTGCCAAGGGTACCGTAGTTGCGAGCGTTGCCGCTTGATGGCGTCAACGTGTGACGATCTCGCCTAGTAGTAATATCCGAAGACTGTACGTTCTAGCTTGCCCATAACGTCGTTCGCGACCATACCAGTATTTCATGTGCCACGAGCGTTCGGTTCACCGTGTTAGTTTCACACCGCAAAAGTGGTAGCTCGAGGGAACCGGCAAGTAGAAATAACCATTAGTACCCAGCAGTGGCGAGGGGGAGAGTGATCTACCCTCATGAAGGACACCATTTACTAGAATTCTCCTTTTTCATCTACCCTCATGAGTTATACTATTTAGTTCCCAGGGGTAACTTCTTCGGTATGATATTTGGTGGCTAGCGTTCACATGTTCCTGACTAGGATTCTCACTTTGGGCGCTTCCAGAAGATACAGTTGTTTTTTCGGAAATAGCGTCATGGAGGCGGCACTCACGCAGTCATCCCCGTGCGCCTCAATAGCCAGAGACTCTAGGATTTTCTTTGCAAGCTGGTTTTCATTTTTCCGCTATTTCCGAAAGAAAAGCTGCATCTTCTGGAAGCGCCCTAAGTGAGAAACCTACTCAGGAACATGTAAAGGGCCACTTTTAACATGTTCTCGTGGGGCTTATTTTTAATTTACTCATGCGTACATTTGATATCAATATAAATATAATTTCGTATTATACACACTGGTATATATTAAATATATTCCAATTCATCAGGTAGAGACCAAGCGTTATAATACCATATAGTCATTTTTAATGACCGCCGTGGTCCTCATCCTTAAAATACCCCTGAAATAAAAATATATTTCTCAAACAGTCTGATAGGGACGCGCAGGTTAAAAAATAATCTTACGCGAAAACAAATGTCTAAAAGCAATATTCGCGGCGAGAGACGCGTTTCAGTCAGTCACACTGAGCAGGAGAGAGTGTATGACCATCTCGTTGAGGTGGAAAGAGTGCATGACCATTCCGCGACATCATGGACTGTACGCGCAGAATTTAAACTAGATGTCTCGGAGCCAATATTGCTCTAAATAGTTTTTTTTGGCATAAAAGTGATTTTTCGACAAACTTTTCTCAACCAGACTGTCTAATTTTTTTTAAGGATCTCTTTAAGAAATGCGGACGTGGCCTATTGTTTTCACGTCTCTTGCTTCGTGGTTCGTTCTTCGGCGTGCTTAATGACCAACCCGCCATTCAGTGGGATGCGAGCAATAATATGGTGTTCGTTACACGCCATGCCGTGGTTTTATAAGTGTGAGTGTCCACGGAACATGTTCGGTAAGGCTGGCTTGACACCGATCCCCGTTTCAGCGTCTTGACTTGGTTTCTTCTCTAACTCCTATCTCGTGCGTTAACGCGCAGCAATTACTGCAACAGCGCTGTGCTAAAAACTGTAAAGTTCAAGCACCATTTAGACAGATACTAACGTATTTATAACGTCAGTTAGACTTTTATCCGAGATTGAATAATAACTACAGTCTCCCCGAGCCACTTCCATGAAAGCCACACAGCAGCACACCAGAGCAGAACAAAGGGAACCTCAGTTCTACTCCGCACCTGTCAGGGTGTCACCTGAAGCCACATTTTGATTGGTTGGCGCTTCCTTCATTTTTTTCAATGTTGCAGCAAACAAGTAGAAAAAGTACAAATCAATTTTTAAAAAATATTTTTTTCTCCCAGCCAACACTAAATTATTGTCAATTGATCTCGGAATTACGCTAAAAATGCCGTCTCAAACGGCACTTTCTAATTGTGTTATCTGATTCACAACCGTTTATAAAGATAAACTGCCTGTTTATATTGCCTTTATTTCTTTTAGAGAGAGCGACTTTGAATGCCTGAGAATTGAAACGCATGACACCAATCTAGATACAAAAAGGCTGCCTGCCAGTTTTACAACTCCAAACGAAATTTGTGAGAAGAAACTTCTAGCTCACAATCATGCTGGTGGATTTCATCAAGATGAGGTAACAACAGCGCATTATGTATGTTATGGGTATAGGTTTTGCGACGACAGGTGAATGAATATCCATAAAGTCAAATTTAGATAATGCTTTTTACTTGGACGTCCCAAACCGGAATGAACAGGTAACGATATATTTATAAAACACCTTATAATTATCTCAAATTATGTTCGTACATCTAGACATCCACATATCCGAAATAAAATGGCCCATCAGAATTGTTGTAAGTTCGTAAACTAATATATATATATATATATATATATATGTATATACCGGTATTTTTTCCGGAACTGAACCCGAACCCGAACCGTTATATTGTTATCGCGATGAACACGAACCGGAACTGAACCGGAAAAAAAATAACGGTTACCGGCTCATGTCAAAACGGTTCGGCCACGCGCTGTTGACAATGAATGTGTTATCAATGCCGTTTGTTTTTTAAGCGCCGTCAACTGACACACACCTCGCTTACATGTTTTTCTTCTCCACTCAGTCTTAGGAATATAAACGCTGCATCCATGAATCTTGACAAACGCTGCATTCATGAATCTTGACATAGGAACCAGTATTGCGCTGGTCGCGGCTTGCACGGAAAAAAGAAAATTAGAAGGCTGTGCAAAAAAAAAATCGCGTCACGGGATTTCATTTTTCTACAATCTCGTAAATCCTAAATGCTGCGGTGTGCTCATTTCATAACACGTTTCTAGAACGCGCGAGTTCTTGAAGCTTGCTTCCATCGGAATGAGAAAAGAAAAGGCTGTGGAGTTTGATAATAATGCATCCGGTTTCGTATAGGCACTTAGAAGCTAACATATTTGTGAGACAGCGAACTCTTCTATTTTAATATTTATCCTATTACGTCCTTCTGGCGTTGCGTTCGGTGAAGTGTTTTTCATATTCCGTATCTTGTTTAATGAAAACTTCTTGAAGGGTCTAATTTGAGTTACCGAAGGCTAGTTCAAATAAAGAAAGCTGTATTTTCTCCCTACTGTTCCTTCAATTGCTTTCACGCCGAGGTGGCGGGATAGTTAGCGAGTTCTACTTGTAAGTGGGTTTGTAAGGAGGTCGCGGATTGTACAGCTACTGCGTCGGACCCAATTAGATGAAGTCCGAATACGTAAACGTCGGTGAGGTAACCTTTGAGTGCACATAAAGAAACCATTCCTGGTAGAAATCCCTGAGCCTTACACTACGATGTATCCCGTTTCGTATATGCTACTTTCAGATGTTTTATTTGTAATTTATTTTGATGTTGCAATTTGTGATTTATAATTTCCGAACCGGTTCGCGGATCGAATTAATCGAACCGGAACTGAACCGGAACAAAATAAATTTACCTGAACCTGAACCGTAACCGAACCCGTATTTTTTTTCGGTTCGACAAACTGATATATATATATATATATATATATATATATATATATATATACGTACTCACTCCGTAAATTATGATACTAACACTTTAAGAAAACTAAACTTATCTAAGGAGATCAATAATATAACTCGGTAAATCTTGTTATTCTGCAAAATAACCTTTTATTTTTATTTTTTTAAACAGTCGTTATTTAGTGGCATAAAATTATTGCTATAGACCGACACGTGGGCTTGACGTCACAGAGCTGCGGCGGCGCTGCGATCGCACCGAAGCCGGGTGGTGTGGGCCAAAGGGAGCATGTTTTGCATGGACGTCACAACATTTCAACGTCCCGCAAATCTGTGTTAGCCGTTAATTGCAGCGAAAGGTACAGCAAAAGTATCGGATTTCATTTTCACAAGTTAGCGGCGGACTGTGAAAGGCGCAGAAGGTGGATAATATCTGTGGGTCGAAAAGAATTGTCGCCTCGCGCAGACGACCGTTTGTCCGGCAAGCACTTTCTTGAAAGCTATTGTGGCTTCCATTTCAATCTCCATCCCGAGGCTTGCTTACGTACAGAGAAACCGTCGCCTTATCGAGAGCACTCATATTTTATTCCCACGGTCTTCGCGCACAAAGTACCGGCCAAGCGCTTGTCTGTGGCTCGCTATGCCCGTGCTAACAAACGGAATGAGGTCGGCGGTAGAACGGACAAAGCGTTACCGCTTGTTGTGCCTTCTGATTATGAGGTTCAGAAAATATCATACCTTGACTTGAGGGACGCTGTGTGTATTTGATCGGTTATTAAATGCACTTCCGCAGACCAACTCTCTCCAGATCCCGCCAGCTGCGCTGAAACAGGCTCGAAGTAATCGTAGGCCTCGAGAGACTTGTACGCCTGCACCGTGTAGTAGTCTGTACAATTTTCGCACAGTGCATAATACAGCCTAAAGTGCTTCGTCGAGGGGTTGTGCACATATCCAGCTGATTTTTCGTTTCTGTCCGTGACCGTCTTTGCATGGTTAATCAGAAGTATTCTCAGGAACTTGTTGCAAATTAAACCAGCCAAGCGCTTCGAGTGACTGTTGTCAATGCCCTCTGGGCAACTTAGGATTGGAGCGTCTTCAAGATAGGGTTGCACCCTATCTAGTTGAAGAACTTCGTGCACATTTGTACGCGGAACGTGCTTAACAGCCTTTAAAAAAAAGCAGCAATGTTGTCCAGAAGTGCGAGGAACCTAGGATTTGGATAATGAAGTCCGCTTTTATCCTGGCCTTGCAATAAGACGAACAGATGATCAACTCGTAGTCAACAGCATAACACAGGCGTCGCACCCAAACTCACTGAGTTTCACCAGATAGCCATCGACGGACACCACACCAAAGTTGCCAAAACAACAACCTACGAAGCTCGAACACCAGCGCAAAGCAGCTCGAAGGGACTCTCCGAGTGGGGTGAAGTGGGGTGAGGTGGTTGCGCCCCTGGCGGCAAGCAAGTGAGCTACTTACGGAGAAAAAATGCCATTGACTCCCGGGCGATTGCAAAGGCCGTAAGAAGAGAAAGAGAGCGCGCGCTTCCAGTCCGGCCATGCTCTAGAATACGGTTTTCACAAAGACTCTAATATGAAAGTAGAGATTTCGGGAGTTGGCAGTGGCCCTTTAAAGTCCATTTCGAGTACTGATTTCACAACGCGAAGGTACACTCCGATTTAGATATCCACGGAAGCAAGGATGAATATCTAGCACTGGATACCTCGGTTCTGCGGGCCTAGTTTTCACGCTCTTAGACTCCCAACTTGGGCGCTGTAACACGCTAAGACACCTGCCACCTTCCCCCCCCCTCTTCCCCCCGGCGCTTCCTTCCAAAAGCTCATGTACCCCGTGAATTATCCAATGTATTTAAAGTTGAACAGCTCTATTAAGACATACGAAAAGAGCTGTACAATATATTCCTTGCAGGACAATATGTTACAGAGGTGTATTCTCCATTGTAAAACGCCTCCTGATGAAGATGACTTTATTTGGAGTATGAATGTAACAGCAGAGGAGGGGACACCTTGCAGAAAAACAAAGGTGAGTTACAACTTCACTTCTCTTGTTGCCAATAAAACTATAGACCCCCCACCCTCAAATTACATGCCGTCTTGAGTCTGAAATAAACTGTTCTCATGCTCGCATTGTTTCAGCCTCCGATGCTTTGCATAGCTGAGGAATGTGTTGTGTCGGAATAACAACCATGCCCTGTTGGTCGACTCAAAAGAAAACACTTGAGGTCAAACTCTGCACGCAAAACACGATTTTAGTTTCTCACCAAAAGAAAAGAATAAAGATTACTTTTTTGGAAGTCTAGGCACCAAAGATTTTGAGCACAATAAAACCGTTAAAACAAGCTTTGTTGCAAACTTTGTGGTGAATACCCAGAGCTAAGCTCTAATAATAAATTTATCCTTCAAGCTTGAGCTCTACTTCTATAATTATGTGTCACTTTCGCATGTGTTTGTGATAAGAAAACCAGCCGGGATAGCACGCCCTGGAAGCTGAATATTGGGTCGGTACGTGGAGGACTCCTGTGACTTTGCATGGTTAAAAATTAAACGACGTTTACAATTCGCTGTAATGCCGAATTAGAGCTCAATTCTCGAGGAGGAGGGGAGGGTACTGAGAGGAGGTTACGCCCCTCCAACTCCTCCGTACCTTCTCCCCCCCTCCTCCCCTTCCTCCCCTCCTTCCTTGTGACGTCACTCGTGACCCCCGTGACCTTCGTGACGTCACTCGTGAAGGCTTCATGGAGGTCGTGGCCTTCACTGTGAAGGGCATGACCTTCGTCGTGACCTTCACGAGTGACCTTCGTTACGTCGCTCGTGACCCTAGTGACCTTTGTGACATCACTCGTGACCCTCGTACGAGTCACATGAAGGTCGTGACCTTCACATGACCTTCACTGTGAAAGTTGTGACCTTCGTCGTGAATTTTACGATTGACCTTCGTGACGTCACTCGCGACCATAGTGACCCTTGTTGCGTCACTCGTCAGTCCAGACTTCTACGCAACGAGTTACAAGTAACTGATTGCTTGTAATCGGTTACATTTTATTTTACCTTTTTAACGCTTTCTTTTTCTACTTTCTTTCTTTTTACTTTTATTTAAAAAAAGTGAAAGCCGCTTACAACTCCCTGTAACGCCGAATTGGAGCGCAGCTCTTGAGGAGGTGGGAAGGGCGCTGGGGGGGGGGTTAGACTAACCAGGGGGGGTCACGTGACCTTGGGGGGTCACGTGACCCCCAATGCCGATGATGTCATCACTAACGTCACTGATGACGTCATTAGTGACGTCACTGATGACTTCACCAGTGATGATGACGATGACGATGCGAATGTCGGTGACGTCATCAGTGACGTCGCTGACGACGTCATCAGTGATGATGACGATGACGATGCGGATGCCAGTGACGACATCAGTGACGTCACTGATGACGTCATCAGTGATGATGACGATGACGATGCGGATGTCGGTAACGTCACCGGCATCCACATCGTCATCATCATCACTGATGACGTCACCGGCATCCACATCGTTATCGTCATCATCACTGATGACGTCACCGGCATTCACATCGTCATCGTCATCATCACTGATGACGTCACCGGCATCCGCATCGTCATCGTCATCATCACTGATGACGTCACCGGCATCCACATCGTCATCGTCATCATCACTGATGACGTCACCGGCATCCACATCGTCATCGTCACTGATGACGTCATCATCATTGATGTCATCATCATTGATGACGTCACCGGCATCCACATCGTCATCGTCATCATCACTGATGATGTCACCGGCATCCGCATCGTCATCGTCATCACTGATGATGACATCAGTGATGATGACGATGACGATGTGGATGCCGGTGACGTCATCAGTGTCGATGACGTCATCGGGGGGTCACGCGACATCGGCGGGGGTCACGTGACCTCGGGGGTCACGTGACCTCGAGGAGGGGGTCACGTGACCTCAGGGGCGTCACGTGACTTCGGGGGGTCACGTGACCTCGGGGGGTCACGTGCCTCCCCACGAAGTCACGTGACCCCGGTGGGGGGCTCGCGCGGTGCATTATGGGATATTTCCCATGATGCACCGCGCGGTTACGCCGACGCCGACGGCGACGGCGACGGCGACGGCGACGGCGACGCCGACGCCGCTCAAGCCGGAAACGGGCCCCTAAGAGCTGCGCTCTAAAAATAATTACTTTCTTTTTTCGGTAACGTTCGCTGTTATTCAACTACTATTTTAGAGCGCAGCTCTAAGGGGCCCGTTTCCGGCTTGAGGGCCTGTTTCCGCGCGGTTACGCCGTCGCCGTCGGCGTAACCGCGCGGTGCATCATGGAAAATGTCCCATAATGCACCGCGCGAGCCCCCTACCGGGGTCACGTGACCTCGAGGGGGGCACATGACCCCCCCGAGGTCACGTGACCCCGGTGCATCATGGGAAATGTCCCATAATGCACCGCGCGAGCCCCCCACCGGGGTCACGTGACCTCGTGGGGGGCACGTGACCCCCCCGAGGTCACGTGACCCCCCGAAGTCACGTGACTCCCCTGAGGTCACGTGACCCCCACCGATGTCGCGTGACCCCCAATGATGTCATAGTCACTGATGACGTCACCGGCATCCACATCGTCATCGTCCTCATCACTGATGACGTCATCATCACTGATGACTTCACCGGCATCCACATCGTCATCGTCATCATCCCTGATGACGTCACCGGCATCCACATCGTCATCGTCATCATCACTGATGACGTCACCGGCATCCGCATCGTCATCGTCATCATCACTGATGACGTTACCGACATCCGCATCGTCATCGTCATCATCACTGATGTCGTCACCGGCATCCACATCGTCATCGTCATCGTCACTGATGACGTCACCGGCATCCGCATCGTCATCGTCATCACTGATGACGTCACCCGCATCCGCATCGTCATCGTCATCATCACTGATGACGTTACCGACATCCGCATCGTCATCGTCATCATCACTGATGACGTCATCAGCGACGTCACTGATGACGTCACCGACATCCGCATCGTCATCGTCATCATCACTGGTGAAGTCATCAGTGACGTCACTAATGACGTCATCGGTACCCGCATCGTGATCGTCAATGATGACGTCATCAGTGACCTCAGTGATGACATCATCGGCATTGGGGTCACGTGACCCCCAAGGTCACGTGACCCCCCAAGGTCACGTGACCCTCCCCCGGTTAGTTTAGCCCCCCCCCAGTGCCCTTCCCTCCTCCTCCTCAAGAGCTGCGCTGTAATTCGTCGTTACAGGGAGTTGTAAGCAGCTTTCACTTTTTTCTACGATCAATTACAAGTAATCAATTATATGTTTCCGAAAAGATAAAAAGATCGAGTTTTTAGAGCGCAGCTCTTAGGGGCCCGTTTCCGGCTTGAGCGGCGTCGCCGTCGGCGTCGGCGTCGCCGTCGCCGTCGCCGTCGCCGTCGGCGTCGGCGTAACCGCGCGGTGCATCATGGGAAATGTCCCATAATGCACCGCGCGAGCCCCCCACCAAGGTCACGTGACCTCGTGGGGGGTCACGTGACCCCCCGAAGTCACGTGACTCCCCTGAGGTCACGTGGCCCCCTCCTCGAGGTCACGTGGCCCCCTCCTCGAGGTCACGTGACCCCCCGATGACGTCATCGTCACTGATGACGTCACCGGCATCCACATCGTCATCGTCATCATCACTGATGACGTCACCGGCATCCACATCGTCATCGTCATCATCACTGATGACGTCACCGGCATCCACATCGTCATCGTCATCACTGATGACGTCACCGACATCCGCATCGTCATCGTCATCATCACTGATGACGTCACCGGCATCCACATCGTCATCGTCATCATCACTGATGACGTCACCGGCATCCACATCGTCATCGTCATCATCACTGATGACGTCACCGACATCCGCATTGTCATCGTCATCATCACTGATGACGTCATCAGTGACGTCACTGATGTCGTCACCGGCATCCGCATCGTCATCGTCATCATCACTGATGACGTTATCAGCGACGTCACTGATGACGTCACCGACATTCGCATCGTCATCGTCATCATCACTGGTGAAGTCATCAGTGACGTCACTAATGACGTCATCGGTACCCGCATCGTCATCGTCACTGATGACGTCATCAGTGACGTCAGTGATGACATCATCGGCATTGGGGGTCACGTGACCCCCAAGGTAACGTGACCCCCCCCCTGGTTAGTTTAACCCCGCCCCCCCCCCCCCCAGTGCCCTTCCCTCCTCCTCCTCAAGAGCTGCGCTCTAATTCGGCGTTACAGGGAGTTGTAAGCGGCTTTCATTTTTTTACTCTGTCTCTGCCTGCTCGTCCGCCACTCGTCTATATTGCACCAACGTAGGGCATATTTGTGACACCCAAACAACTACAAAATGGTACCAAGATATCAAAAGTTTTAGAATGCCCACGCACTCAGCGACGTTTTGAGTGTTGAAGCTTAACAAAGTGTGAATGACAAAAAGAAACAAAATGTAACAGCTTTCAAATATGTATGCGTTTTTGATTTCGCCCCGAAGGAAAAATCCATCAATGTAACCCTGTTTGGCAGTCAATGTTTTCTAGTGGACCCCTGACTGTGCCTGACGGTACGTCAAGCATGTCTGACTGTCCAACAAGTTACTTTGACCGACAGTCAAACTCCAGTCAGACCCCGCTTGTCGGCTTTCTGATGGTTTCCAGGTGGCAGTCGGCCGCCGCGAAGTGCCATCAAGATTTCTTGGTGGCGATTCTGATGGTACATCGGCTGTCTCTGACTGTACGTCAAAAAGCTTTGCCGTGCAGACAGACGTACGGTCAAAGGACGTAAAGTTCGTTCGGATACCACTATTTCGTCAAATCTATGAACGCGAAAAATAATCTATGCACGAGAAAACGATTTCGGGACGTGAGCCCATAAAACCGCTGATGTTAAAGATATGACACGCAACCGACCGACAACCTTGATCAGAAGCCCGCCGAAACGCCGAACTTCTTTGCCGAGCTTCCATGAACGATCAATCTCGACTCGTTTTGTTTGCCCGCTTGCTCCAACTTGTCGATCCTGCCCGGGCTCTACAATGTCTTACGTTTTAGTAGAATTTCTAGTCGACAAGACCCAGCCTGTTGTAAGTTCCGACGATGTAAGGCA